GCTGTGGTGATATAGGAACTCTCATCCACTGCTGGTGGACCTGTAGGTATGTACAGCCACTATGGAAATCAATCTGGCGATTACTAAGACCGATGGAAATTGAGCTACCATACAATCCAGCAATCCCTCTACTGGGCATATACCCAGAAGAGGCAAGAAACAAACCACGGCCAGCCACCTGTGCTCCAATGTTCATTGCGGCACAGTTCACAATCGCAAGGAGTTGGAAACAATCCAAATTTCCATCAACTGATGAGTGGATTGAAGAGCTGTGGTACATACATACAATGGAGTACTAAGCATCACTAAAAAGCAGTGATGAATGTATGAAGCACATCGCTGCATGGGAAGAACTGGAATAAATCATGCTAAGCGAAGTAAGCCAAGCACAAAGGACAACTATAACATGAGTCCACAGATACATTTATTAAAAAAAGAAAAAGAAAAAAATGCAAAAGCGGCACAGGGAAAAAGCTACTGTATATATACAAACACACCAGGGGTGAGGTCCAGATAGTATGGAAGGGGCCAGACCAAATCCAGGCATACATATGTAGCCAACTAAAAAGGAGGGGGTTAGAGAGGGAGGAAAGGGGGAAAAAAGAGGTGTGTGGCCAGGGAGTAGGGCACTGACCCACCCAAGGGGAGGGTATTGTTTGTGTCTCCACAGGGAAAAAGGGGCCAGATTTAAATCCAGTGTTCCAGAATGCAAATACAGTGTGTCAGCAGGGAGTGGGGAGCCAGTGGAGGGGCCTGAGTGCTCTTCCCTCATACCAGCTACATGGACAGCGGCCTCTCCCCCCAGAAGAATTTACTTCAGAGGACAGCACTGAAGCTGCAGCTCAGGGAGAAGGGCATGTCTGATCAGAGCACATGGGAGCAAATGAATGGGGATGAAGAGATAGTGGAGCACATCCTAGCCCACCAGGCCTGCAGGACGATATCCCCGCCCTGGACAGGCAATGAACAGAGAGGACCATATGGCTGATCCCACTATGAGACACGGTCTCCCTCGCTGGCCAGGGCCCTATGGGGACCGCACTGGACACTCAGTGTTGGGACTGGCCTGAACTGGCACTCGCCCCACCCCCCCACAAAGACTAAAGGCGTGCAGCAGAGCAACGGAGAGAGCAGTACAGGGAGCTCCCGAGGGAGTACAAAGGATAGACTCTGGGGCCAGAGCGTGGCACCCCATTGGACTTGATTGGAGGATACACCTCGAGTTCAAAAATGAGACATTTTTCTATTTACAGATTTTTCTTTCTTTTTAAATTTTTTTCTTTTTCTTTTTTTAAAATTTATTTACTATTTTATGGGTCATTGGTTTTCTTTTTTGTTATCAACGTTGTATTCTCTTTTGTCGCTTTGTCTTGCTATGCCTTGTGTTTTTTTGGGTGCATATTCTTATCTCTGCAGATTTATCTCGATAAGAAAGGCTGGATGAACAGTCTGGAGGAGGAAAAATGAGACCAATGGTTCCGTGGGGATATGGGAGATGGGGAGGCAGAGGTAAGGAGTCAGTGTTGACCTCCCCAGGGAAAAGGGAGCAACAACTGATCCAAAATTAGTGGCAAGGAGAGTGTGAGAGGCTGGGTAGGGATTCAGGAAAGGAAATGTAACTGAGAGAAATTACTGAAACACAAATGAAGGCTGAGAATGATAGTGGGATGAGACAAAAGTCAAAGGAAATAGAGGAAAGAACTAGGAGACAAAGGGTAATTATAGAGGTCTAAATACAGGCATGTACATATGTAAATATATTTATATAGGATGGTGTGGAAATAGATCTATGTGCATATATTTATAGGTTTAGTATTAAGGCAGCAGATGGACATTGGACCTCCACTCAACTACTTACTCAATGCAATAACACGTTGCTCTATTAAATTGACATCCCATAATGCACACCTTCCCAACACAATTGCTGAAGACAAATGTGTGCATAAGCAAATGTGAAGAAAGCTGATGGTGCCCGGCTATCAAAAGATATAGCATCTGGGGTCTTAAATGTTTTCAGATAAACAAGCAGCTATCTAGCTCATAAGCATCAAAGCCCACATGAAGTGTGACCACAAGGTGTAGAAGAGACCAGGTATCAGAAATCAAAGAACAAAAATCATATAAGTGGGTGCCCACCTTCCCGATATGATCACTGAAGATAAATGTGTGCATAAGCAAATGTGGTGAAGAAAGCTGTGGTGCCCGGCTATCAAAATATATAGCGTCTTGGGTCTTAAAGTCTTGAAGATAAACAAGCAGCCATCTACTTCAGAAGAAACAAGGCCCACATGGGAGAATCATGCCCTCCTGTGTGACCACGAGGTGTCGAAGAGATCAGTTATCAGGCATCAAAGAACAAAAATTCATAACATTGTAAATGAGGGTAAGTGCAGAGTGGAGACTCAAAGCCCATATGTAGGAAAGTGGACATCCCCTTACTGAAGGGTCACGGGGAAGAGATGAGTCAGTCAGGGAGCAGGATAGCAAGATGAAACATATAACTTTCCTCTAGTTCTTAAATGCTACCTCCCCCCACTATCACGACCCCAATTCTACCTTACAAATCTGGCTAGACCAGAGCATGTACATTGGTACAGATAGGATATGGAAACACAGGGAATCCAGGACAGATGAACCCCTCAGGACCAGTGGTGAGAGTGGCGATACCTGGAGGGTAGAGGGAAGGTGGAATACAAAGGGGGAACCCATTACAACGATCTACATATAACCTCCTCCCTAGGGGATGGACAACAGAAAAGTGGGTGAAAGGAGACATCGGACAGTGTAAGATATGAAAAAATAATAATAATTTATGAATTATGAAGGGTTCATGAAAAAGGGGGAGTGGGGACGGAGGGGGGGAAATAGTATTATATGAGCAGGATTAAATAAAAGAAGTTCAGTTACATGTGTACATAAGGAATGTCCCCAAATTAAAAAGAAGCGTGTGTCTTTGAAGATATAAAATAGAGAGGAAACAGGACAATCTGTAAGTGTAAAAATCAAAGATAAAATTTGTGTTGATGAGCTAGCACTGACCAGGCTAGAGGATCATATTGACCTCTAGTCAAATATGACCTAAGGATCATATTTTCCTTTCGTTAGATGGAAATACAGGCATTAAACCAAAAACTTGATATAATTAAATAGTTAATAATCCGGCTAACTCGTCTTGCTCTGATTCCTTGTTCATTCATGCTTTTATTATTTCTTGACTTCCCAGATGCTGCTCTGTAATAAAAGAATGAATTAGGACCAAGTAAAAGCCCAGACCACTTCACAAATACTCTGTGACTAATGAATGAATTGGCATCTTGAATATGTACTTCCACCCATGGCAATCCACAGTTACTTATATAGCCCACTCTGTTAGAGAGAAAAGATACAATTTTGAGTCCTGGACCATGGTAATTCACCAAATCAATGTGTTCAGAGAATTTTTTTTAATTACATTTCTCCAGGAGATGTTTCCTACCCAATACATGCTTCAGTCAACAGTAAGGAAGCAACACAAAGTCTTCATTAAGGCTTTTCAAGAGGAATGTTCTATTAATCAGGAGCACCCAACAGAATTAATATATAGAAACTTCTCCTTTTGAAAGTATATAGATTTAGTGTTACACCAAGATAGAAAGGAAAAAAAGAAAAGAAAAAAAAAGATAGAAGGGAAATTTCATAATACTTTTATTATTTCAGAAATCCTTCGGAAAACAAAAAGTTGACTGCATATTCTCCTCATTGCCATCTTCATGTCTTTGTTTCTGAATGTGTAGATTACTGAATTTAGAAAAGGAGTAAGAACTACATCAAAAATGGCAAAATAATTGTCTAGTTGTGATGTAGGTTGAGGCCAGGTATAAGCAAAGATGCAAGGGCCAAAGAATAAAATCACCACCATGATGTGAGTTAATAAAGTGGACAGAGCCTTGGATGAACCACTTGAGGAGTGTTTCCAAACTGTGATCAAAATAAAAATATAGGAGATGATCAGTATGAAGAACGATCCCAGAGAAATAAATCCACTGTTGGCTGTGACCATGAACTCCAGTATGTAGGTGTCAACACAGGCCAGTTTGATAAATCGAGGAAGGTCACAGTAGAAGCTGTCCAGCACATTAGGACCACAAAATGGCAACTTCACAACAAAAACTAATTGAATCACAGAGTGGATCAAACCAATTACCCAGGAAGCACCCAGCAGCAGAATACACATTTTTTGACTCATAACAGTTAGATAGTGGAGGGGTTTACAGATGGCCACATATCTGTCAAAGGCCATGGCTATGAGCAGCACCATCTCTGTACCACCAATGACATGAATGAAGAAGATCTGAGCAATGCAGCCTCCAAAGGAGATCACTTTGCGCTTTCTGAAAATGTCATAAATCATTTTAGGGGTAATGACAGAAGAAACACTCAGGTCAATGAAGGAGAGATTAGCCAACAGAAAGTACATGGGAGAGTGTAAGTGAGAGTCCCAGGCCACAGTGAGGACAATGAAGGAGTTTCCCAACATACTTGCCACGTAAAACATGGAGGAGAATACAAAGAGGACAAGTTGGGTCTCCCAAGAATTGGAGAGTCCCAGGAACACAAACTCTGACACCATAGACTGATTTGCCCCATCCATTGATTTGTCAATCACAGTGCTCTAAAATGATTAGATAAAAGAAAATGAGGAGGAAATAAAAATAAGAATTGCATCGCTGCCTTAGAATTAGAATGATTAATTATTCTAGGACATTTACAGTGTACAAACTTTATATCCCATCAATTCTTCTCAGTTCATATAATCACTATAAAGCCATTTTACCTGCGGTCACCTAAAGCAATTGTGTCACATCCACATGCAATATCCTTATTGCTATGGCCTCCTGGGATGATCGTCCATCTGTAAACAAGAGAATGGAGAAAAAGTGGAAACATAGAAGATAGGGATTGAGTAAGGCAAGGAAAGAGGAACATTGAAACACAGAGAGAATACAAAAGCTATGGAGATTGACTTGTTTGCCAGAACTCACTGGTTCTGTTCTTGAATTGTTGATGAAATATTTTGCAATTATTCTAGCTGTCTCTCCTCTAAACCTCATTTCATCTCACATGTATACTATCTCTTGACTCGCACACCACTACCCTTAATCACATTTTCAATTCACATAAAGTCCACAGAATAGGAAGGAGTATAATAGCAAGTGCTGTAAGGCATGCAAAGGATTCAAATGTGTGTAGGACGAAGGTAAAGGCTGACTAGAGATTGAGCCATGGGGTATCCTCACCTGCACCCAGAGATGTAAATGATAGCAACTTGTAGGATGGATGACAGACAGATTACAGCCAGGGTATGAATTTGTGAGATGCAAGAAGACAAGGAAATCCATGAGAATTATCTGCTATAACTTTCCATAAACCAAATAGTCTGTGGACCTGGTCACAACCATTGGAGTTCCAAAATGCTTAAGTGTTTGCTGGGAATGAAGAAGTGTACAAAAACTTACGTCATAGCGAGCAGGTAACTGTTTACCTTCTATTCTCCCCACCTGTCGCTGTGCTTCAACCCTGCCCAGTATCTGACTGGTCCTGGGCCTTAATTATGGGTTTAACACAAATCCCTCTGATTTTTATGAGAACTGTACTGTGATTAAATACAAGATGTAGTCTCCCTGTGGTCAAACATTTGTCCTTCCTATAAACTCAGGCATGCTGCAAAAGGTGAGATGAATTAAGGAAAGAGGGAGGTTGTAACAGTAGCAGTAAAGAACTAGTAAAATAAAAATGCATGAGTGTGTGCCCTGATGCCTCAGATCTGAAAATAAAAGAAGAGGGTAAGAGAAAGTCAAAAGCAACATGAATCCCAAAGTTTGCCTTTCATTATTTGTGTGTTCATGTACACATACACAAACTTGTCACACATTCTGAATTAATTTTTTCATGAACTATTAACTGCAAAGCTCCCTAGAGATGACCTGGTCCGTGTTGCTCTTTTACACATGATAAAGTAATGGTCTAGTGAGGTACACACAACTAGTTTAAGAAACACAGTCTAGATATCCTAGTCCACACTTGATTCCACATACTACAAAAATAATAAAGCGAAAATGATAAGTCAACCTTTAAATCAAGTATATATGTGTGGTAGTTTATTCCAATTTAAAGCTAGCAGTTGTACTAGTCACTTATCAAGAGCTTAATGGACTCTTGTCTTTTTTTTGTTTATTGAAAATCTGATATAGAACTTTTTTCAATCCTACCCATCCTTTAAAGGTTCTTCAAAATCTCATATCCTTCACAAAAATTCCCCCAGTGACTCCAGTGTATATTAATCTCTTTCAGCTATCACTTCTATACTCAGGAGACTTAAATTTTAATTAGAAATTAAATAATTTCCAACACCACAAGGTATAGCACCATAGAAAAGTTCATAAGTTCCTATTGCCAAACACAATGTTTGATGGAAAATTCAAAGAACTTCGCAGAGAACGCAGGATTTAGTATAAATACTGAAAAATTAGTTCAATAAGCTAAGAGGAGATAAGCAGGTATACTTAGAGGAAAGCATACTTCTTATTTAGAACATATGTTTTGCTGGTAATTGTCATTCTTCAGTGGTCTCGTTCTTAGAGCTCCTATCTCACTAAATATGTTTTAGGATGATAAGGACTATTTCTTCGCTTTCCTTCATTTCCTTGAATATAGAGTGCAATCGCCGTAAATATTTCATGATATTCTTCGGTAAAACTTCAGTAAGGAAAACCCATTCTTGTGGGACCATCTTTTCTCACAGTTTCTGCTTTTCTATTCTTTCATTTTTTTCTTCATGAATCTCAGTATATATTTCCAAACTTAAAACAAATTTAACGCATCTTGCAATCACAAGAGAAGGCCTGCTATTCTTAATATAAATTACCTGCTGGTGAGACGGGAAACCTCCTCTCAAGGTTTAAATTAGTCCTTAGATTAACTATGCAGAGTCTTAGAAATTAAATTTTTTAAAGAAGGTAAAAAGAAAATAAATCTAAAGAGAATGGTTCCAAAAGCAGTACATCAGGCAATGCTACATGGCTTCGTCTTCCAGGGTTCCTCTTCCTAATGTAAGGAGGGAAACACAGACACTAGATTATAAATGTTTCTAAAACACTTAATGATAGGATTCTAGAGTTGGAACAGTTAGCAAATACTTTCAGATGATTGATCTCAGTGATTACCCTTTAGAGAGGATGTGTCAGTTAATAGAATTAGTTTCACTTGTAGATGAAGAATTTCAAGTTAAGTATTAATGAATTATCCAAACACATATCAGTTGGATAGAAACCAGAATTCAGGTCTTTTGATTCCAAATCCAGGATAATTTTTCCTCTGTAATGTAATTAGGGTTATTTTCTCATGATCTGAAATAGCATTACAAACTCTAAATAGGAAGTGCATTTTACACAGAAATCTCTTCCATCCTGTGCCCATTCTGCACACAGGCATATTTAACAGCTATTACTACCAGAATCAAGACCCACAGATCATTACTGCAAATTTTTGGAAGGACATACAGTTTTAATTGAGAAAAAAGCACTTATACCAAACTTTTCATGCCAATAAAGATTTGAGCAAAGATAAAATAACAGTTACTGATAAAGATGTGATTGTTAGAAATGACATAAAAGAAAGATCAGCACTGAACATGAAAACTTAAGAATCATCTAAAATTTGAAGTTAGCTTAAAGGCTAACATGTAAATAATTTATTTGTTAATAAACTTAACAAAGGAGCTGCACATGGCTAGAGAAAACAAATACATGTCTGCTGGCAATCCATAAGGTCAATAGTTCAATCCTATAGAGAAAGTAGCAGTCAGATTTGTGAAGATTTACATATGATATTCTGTCCTGTTGAGTCACTAGGATTTGGAATCAACTCAATAGCAATAAGTTAGAGGTCTGATTTATTATCATAATTATTGTATTACATTTTACGATTTTTACATATTGCCTACCAATTACAAACTCAGTTTCCGTGTATTGCATTGAAGAAAACGAAGGAAGAAAGAAAAGAATTGGGAGTGACCGTCACATATGCTAGAGAAAGATTAACAAGGTAAAACCTAAAAGACTGATTTATTGCTGAGACCTCTTTGGTGTTCTATGAGAACAGCTGCATTAAAATTGTAGAAAG